GCAAGGAAGTGTTTTCCACAAGGAAACTCCAACTGCAGTGTCCCAGCTGCAGGCAGACCTATCCACCTTCCAATTATATTTAGATAAAAATCCTTCGGAAACTGCTTTTCCATCCCCTCCTCGGTGGGAGTTCAGAGTTCAACAAGTGATCATCTGCCAAGATGATCCTCGCTCTCCACCCCAAGCACCAGCTGCGCAGGTATTCTCCCTTTATCCTGCTCTAAACTCCTCCGCCCCAGCTCAGTAAATCCTTGTTCCCAGACTCTAGCGAAGTCACCAATGTCCCACCTCCAACCAAGCTTAGCGTCCCTCACCATTAGCGACCTTCACACCAACATCCCACCAAAGCCACCACATGCGATGCTGCCGTGTGGACACAACACAGCCCAGACCCTGCCCTGGGGCCAGGTTTCCATCTCCAGTGCTCAAAAAGCAAGTGATAAACCAGAAGAGTGGCTGTATATAGTTTTTCAGAGCTCCATTACCTAGAAGTGTCTGTACTTATCAAATCATGGGTCCACTTACCTGAGCATGCATCCCAAGTGGCAGACAGAAGCAACACTTAAGCACTTATGGCATCCCTTCTAAATTGCCTTCCAATCCAACCATTTCTGGCTCTGGGGGACCTTTTGAACCTTTCCCCAGCCCCCAGTATCACACCTCAGCTTTTCTGCTGCAAATTAAGTGCCTGTCTTCTTCTGTTGTCCCCCACTAGAAAGACAGTCAACCAAGCTTCATTTTCTCTTGTCCCTAGAAGCCTAACACCCCTCCTAGCCTTTGCTGCTCTACAAACTGCTGGAGCGTGAAGAACCTGAAGCCCTCAGACCGTGAGACACTAGTGAACAGAACCAAGACTGCTTCTGGTTTGGCAGCAAGGCACCCATTGGTGCCTTATGGGATTTATACCCCACATCACCAAGCTGACTCTGCCTGCCACAGGGTTAACTAGCCTGCCTCCTCCTATGTATGGGATTTCCAGGTATGGCAACTTCCTCCCCACCAGACAGAGAACAGCACTGCGGGGTCTGGAGAAGCACTAGAGGACATGTGACAACTCTGGTGTGTCTGCCAGATACTGTTCAAAGACATGTAGGGAAGTTTTGCTCCAAGGGGCTCTTTTCTTTTGAGCAAAGGAGACTCTTGTAGGCAAGGTATAGCTGAGAACTGGCCAAAATAGCGGGTAGAAAGGGAGTGGGAACAGCTCCACTCCCAGTCAACAGCAACACTATTTTTTTGAGGGAGGACAGGGCGGGGCTGGTTGCTTTTGTTCCTCAACTCTTCAACTACACACTTCCCCCCTACAGAAAGCGGTCCACGTTCCCCTTAACAGCACAGCATGAAGCATCAGCATAACTCACCATGATTATGCCTGACGCAGCTTAGAAGTCCGCATCTGCAAGAAAGAAGGGCAGATCGTTAGGCTTCAGGACAAACAGCACCCCCCTCTCCCATCACCATGAGCCCACCCCTGCTGGAAACAGCCCCAGTGCAGTAACCAGAGAGCTGCCCTTGCTTGGCTGTGAGTTTGCTGTAGCAGGCTGGTCACCACAATCAGTCCCCACCGCTCTATCCTCCTTGATATTCACTAAATGTAAAGCCAGAAATCACTGCATGACCCATCTCTTTCTCAGCAAGTTCACCTACAAAGAGATCTGAGTGCTCCACCAAGAGCTGTCAGACACAGCATAACCAAATACCTACAAGTAATACCAAGGCAAGTCTTCTCTATCTGCTACGAACAAACTCTTTCATGGGTACATATACACAGCCTTTTCAGCAGCCCAGTGGAAACCAAGTTCATTTTCCATCTATAGCACAAGACTTTCAAAATCCACCCCATTATAGCACCCTGTTGCCTAAGGGTAACAGAGACACTATGAAGAACAGTGGCAAAGCTTGAAGAGGAAGACACACAATACCCCATCTGAAAGACTGTGGCTCTTTGAAGGCAGAGTGGGTCACCCTGCAAGTGTAGACATCGCCCTTCTGGGGGGTGAACGGCGCATACGCCAAGCGCTCAAAAAACCACTTCTCGTTGAAGGACATGTCCGTGTACTTCACACCACTCATGGGTTCCCCGTTCTTGAGGAGGGCGATCTCAATCTTCGGAGGGTGGAAACCACTCACGAAGCAGTTGAGGACGTTTTCCTCTCCGAAGGAGGCATGTTTGCGGGAGTACACCTGCACCTTCGGCGCCTCTGGAGAGGAGGGTAAGGGGGCAGTGAGAAGCAGAGCTGCAGCAGGCACCGCCTAG